TCCTCCTGTGCAGCCAGGTCTGGGGGCTTTGGGGAGAAGGTTCTGGTTTATTTCCTAAAAACCAGAGTTGTCCAGCATACCTTACTGCAGGGGCGAGGAAGCCACTACCCTGCAGATCTTTAAACCTCTTTAAAGACGCTCTCAAGGCAAATCTAAAAACTGTCGTCTAAACACTGACAACTGGGAAATACTGGCCTGCGAGTGCTCCAGTTGGACAGCAGCCTTGACCAAAGGTGTCATGGACTTTGAAGACGCTCAAACTCAGGGAGAAACATGCTAATAGGAAGGTATGCTTGGCAAACCCTCAGTGTGATCAACACCCGCCAAGAAACCTATGTCCCCACTGTGGAAGGATGTGTGGATCCAGAATTGGCCTCCACAGTCACTTACAGACTCACTGTTAAGACCGTGTTCATGGAAGACAATCTTACTCGGCAACAAGTGATTGCCAGAGAAGAAGAAGACTCTGGAGATGTTGTAGTTTGATTTGATCATCCATCATCGCTGATCATTGGCTGTGCCTCTGCTGGCTGGGGCTGATGGGAATTGGAGTCCCACAACATCTGCAGGGCACCTCCTGCTTAGAGGGGTTTCTCCAGCATCCTGTGAGCCCATCTTGCCCCCTCCTCAATCCTGCTCAGGCATCTTTCCGCCCAGCCTGTGCACATCACACCCACTTTCCCCTTGCAGAGAGCAGCAAAGAATGAAGATGTCGGCAACGCATTGTGGCCTATTTTAAATTGTCTGTGGAATTGCAAGTCTTCCAAGTGGCACTGCTAGAGGGTAAATTATGCAGTATATCTGCCCCCTGCATTTTGTATTTAGCATTATGATTTTCGTTGTTATCGCCTCAGAGTTCCCCTCCTCTATGGATGCATGAAAACAATAAAAATATAATAAATCCCTCTCATCCCCGTCATGGCCTTCTGGAACTCCTTTGCTTTTGCCTGAAGTCCAAAGGTATCCAGCACGAAGAATATTCTAAATGTGATCATCCATCCAGCATGTCTTTTAGGCGCCACTAAGATTAAATGAAAGAATCATAAGATGGAGGCCTTTGACTTTTAATCCTTTTACAATGGAACCTTTAGATAGTCTTGGGGGCAGGGTGCCTCCTAGATGAGTAACAGTCCCCCTTGTTCCTCTTTGCTAAGTTAATGAATACATGCAACAATAAGGTACCTGGACCCCCTAACCCTCCCTCTTCCCCCACCTGATTGGAAGGGAAAGCGCATTAAATAAGGGGAAGGCGTGTGGGGCGGGGCGGGGCAGGGGATGCCTCTTGAGCTATGTGGAATTTGCAGCATTAGACTCCCAGCGAAGGGAGGGGGGAAATCATGTTTAAAACAATTGACATAATAGATGCCTCCACATTTTTCATTTTCAAATGCCATGGATTCCGAGATAAATACAGAAAGGTGCAAAACTCCCACCCGACTTATTTTCCCCTGCAGGAAAAAAATGCGCAGGAAGAGTTGCTGTTAACACCCCCACCCTGCTTTTTGGGGGGAGTGCTGCTTATTTATTGGTTTGTTCCAAAGTACAGTGGCACGCGGGTGGCGTTGTGGGTTAAACCACAGAGCCTAGGACTTGCCAATCAGAAGGTCGGCGGTTCGAATCCCCGGCACAGGGTGAGCTCCTGTTGCTCGGTCCCTGCTCCTGCCAACCTAGCAGTTCGAAAACACGTCAAAGTGCAAGTAGATAAATAGGTACCGCTCTGGTGGGAAGGTACACGGCGTTTCCGTGTGCTGCTCTGGTTCGCCAGAAGCGGCTTAGTCATGCTAGCCACATGACCCGGAAGCTGTACGCCGGCTCCCTCGGCCAGTAAAGCGAGATGAGCGCCGCAATCCCAGAGTCGTCTGCGACTGGACCTAATGGTCAGGGGTCCCTTTACCTTTTTACAGTGGCTGCCAGAGATGTATCACCCTGTTTATTTATAAGACTCCAAGCCTGCACAGACTTACCTGGGAGTAAGTCCCATTGGGCTCCATGGGGTTTACATCTGAGTACATAGGAGCCAACTCCTAGGGGCCGAAGTCCCTTTGTCCCCCACCCTAAAATATTTGAGGAGGCCACCCCCCCATTGCTGGGCATTGCCGTTCAAATTGTGTTTCCATGCCACATCGTGTGATTGATTTTGCGGGCCAGAGTGTATCTGGGCCCCCCAATATTTTATTCAAGTTGGCACTTGAAGACATCAGCAATGATTGCATTTGCAAGGGTATCAGAGTGAGCGAGAGAAAGAGAGAGAGAGAGAGAGGAGGGGTGAGAGAAGGAAGAAGGAAGGAAGGGATCTGGCCCTTTGTGGGATTAAAGTCTATTGATTGTAACTGAGTGCCCAAGAAGAAATCCTGGCTTGAAAGCCACTGCCCAGGCCTGGGACATGTGTAGCAAAGGTAAGTCTCCAGTGTATACAGAATCTTCCGGTGTCTACAGACGGCTCCACATCTGGAACAAGCAGCGCTGCGTGGCTGGGGGTGTGGCTTCCAGACAATGCTGAGCAGGGGTCAGCAACCTTTTCCAGCCATGGGCCGGTCCACCGTCCCTCAGACAATGTGGTGGGCCGGACTATATTTTGAAAAGAAAAAAAAAAAGAACAAATTCGTATGCCCTACAAATATCCCAGAGATGCATTTTAAATAAAAGCACACATTCTCCTCATGTAAAAACACGCTGATTCCCGGACCGTCCGTGGGCCAGATTGAGAAGGCGATTGGGCCGCATCCGGCCCATGGGCCTTAGGTTGCCTACCCCTGGTGTTGAGCCAAGCACCTCTGCATGAGGAAATAACTTATTGACTAGTACTAGTGCATTAGAGACATGAGGTTAACTGGGTGCAGCAGGGATCGCCAAGCTAGTGCCCATGAATGCCATGGTGCCAATAAAGGCCTTCATTGGTGCCCGTGGGAAGATGCTGCAGGCTCTAGGCTCCCTCCCTCCCTCCCTCCCTCCCTTCCTTCCTTCCTTCCTTCCTTTCCTCCCTTCCTTCCTTTCCTTCCTATTTAAAAAAGTACATCTCTAACAGTCCAATAAAGAAAGTTGTGGGGTAAAATCGGCAGGTGCCTTCCAAGCAATTTCTGTGAAATGACAGTGAAATGACCTTGTGTATTTTCCCCGGTCCTGAAGAATGCTTTCTGTTGGTATTAGACAGCAACAGCATCTCTCTCTCCCTCCCCCCCCCCCGTGTAAAATTGATATTGTGTTATCTCCACAATCAGGAGCAGCTGGACATAGCTGACTTCCTATGGTAAGCATAAAGTGGTCAGGGGTGGCAGGCCCTCTAAGTGTCCCTATTTTTCAGGGACAGACTACAGATTTTCGGATTTACAGATCTGATCCTAGAATTTCCCACTACTCCTTAGGACACCCCCCATTTTCATCGGAGAAATGCTGGAAGGTATGGTAGAATGTCCCTATTTTCGGTGAAGGAATAATAGAAACTTAGGCCATCTATCCCAAGCAATGCAGGAATCTCAGCTGTTGGAGGGTACGGTGTTATGTGAGCCTCAATCCAAGTAGATAAGTAACTCTACAACCTTTGGAAGACATCTGAAGGCAGCCCTGTATAGGGAAGCTTTTAAATGTCTAATGATGATGATGATGATGATGATGATGATGATAACAACAACAACAACAACAACAACACAACCCTATTTTCATCTGAGACATGTTGGAGGGTATGGGGTGGTTGTCCCTCTAAGACAATGGGGAGGCATTATGTGTTCTGCCCCCCCCACTGGCGCCCCCAGCCCTCTCTCAAAATTCAAAATGCACCCACCACTCCATAAAGCTTGATGAATCCTGGGTTACAGGAAGTGGACTGATAAGGTTTCAGTTGTTACTGGTAAAGCCTTGTTGTTGTTTAGTCGTTTAGTCGTGTCCGACTCTTCGTGACCCCATGGACCAGAGCACGCCAGGCACTCCTGTCTTCCACTGCCTCCCGCAGTTTGGTCAAACTCATGCTGGTAGCTTCGAGAACACTATCCAACCATCTCATCCTCTGTCGTCCCCTTCTCCTTGTACCCTCCATCTTTCCCAACATCAGGATCTTTTCCAGGGAGTCTTCTCTTCTCATGAGGTGGCCAAAGTATTGGAGCCTCAGCTTCACGATCTGTCCTTCCAGTGAGCACTGAGGGCTGATTTCCTTCAGAATGGATAGGATTGATCTTCTTGCAGTTCTTCATGGATCACTGCCTTGCCGTGGCGAAGGGGCTTGAATAACTCAGAGAAGCTATGAGCTATGCCAAGCAGGGCACCCAAGATGAACAGGTCATAGTGGAGAGTTTTGACCAAACGTGATCCACCTGGAGGAGGAACCGGCAAGCCACTCCAGTATCCCTGCCAAGAAAACTCCATGGACAAAGACAACAGGTAAAGCCTGGAAGGGTGCAAATTTTACCCAAGGTCACCCAGGCCCCGAACCGCAACTCACTTAAGCCTAAGCTCTATTTTAAACTGACCCACAACGCACGCCAGTTCAATTACGTTGAAGTAAATTCACTTTGAAAGGAGTGGTGAGGTTTTCTTCTGGCACAAAGTGCGAATGATCCTGATGAGTCCCTGCCATCCTAAACCAAGTAAACTTGGTAACACTTGTAAATGTGTGTTGGAGAGAACTAAACCAGGATAATTGGAATCCATCCCCTTGGGTTTAACTGGGCTGAGGATCCAGATGTTGGAAGGCTAATACTGGAACAAGGCTGCAATCCTAGGCATATTTACTTTGTTCAATTGAAGCTACAGTGGTACCTCGGGTTACATACGCTTCAGGTTACAGACTCCGCTAACCCAGAAATAGTGCTTCAGGTTAAGAACTTTGCTTCAGGATGAGAACAGAATTCGTGCTCCAGCGGCGTGGCGGCAGCAGGAGGCCCCATTAGCTAAAGTGGTGCTTCAGGTTAAGAACAGTTTCAGGTTAAGTACAGACCTCCGGAACGAATTAAGTACTTAACCCAAGGTACCACTGTACTTCAAATTAAGGCTGCAAACCTATTCACACAGCCTGGGTAGCACAGTTGGTTAGTGCAGGGTGCTAATAATGCCAAGGTTGCAGGTTCGAACCCCCCATGGGACTTTGAAGATGCTCAAACTCAGGACAAAAGTTAAGAGCAAGGCACGCTTGGCAAATCCACACTGTGATCAACTCCTGCCCAGAAACCTATGTCCCCACTGTGGAAGGATGTGTGGATCCGGAATTGGCCTCCACAGTCACTGACGGACTCACTGTTAAAATGGTGTTCATGGAAGACAATCTTACTCGGCGACGAGTGATCGCCAAATAATAATAAAAAGGGACAGTTGCATATTCCTGCATTGCAACTCTGCAATTCTCTGGTTCACTTACCTGAGACAGAACACGTAGCAAACAAAGAATAGAGCTATCAATGTCCTTGTCTGGGAGGTTGTTGGTGACGGGGAAGCCAAGGGGGTGTTTGGGATATGGAAGAGCAGCTGAAGGAACAAGAGGAAGTATTGATCACCCATTGACTGAAGTATCTGTGATAAAACGTAGGAGCGAAGGGTATCTTTGTAAGGGTGCCCCAACCTATTCTGGCTGAGTTCCTGTGCCTTTAACGTAGCCTTTGCCAAGCTGGTGCCCTTCAGATGGATTTTCTTTTTATAATTACAACTCCCCTGGGAGTTGGCACCGGCTCGGAGAAGACTTTGCAAACTGAGCAGAAGACCAACAGGTGCAGCTCTGCAGGCAGAGAAGTGACTGAAGATGTTTCCCAATTTCTTGTACAGTGGTACCTCAGGTTAAATACTTAATTCGTTCCGGAGGTCCGTACTTAACCTGAAACTGTTCTTAACCTGAAGTACCACTTTAGCTAATGGGGCCTCCTGCTGCTGCCGCACCGCCGGAGCCCGATTTCTGTTCTTATCCTGAAGCAAAGTTCTTAACCTGAAGCACTATTTCTGGGTTAGCGGAGTGTGCAACCTGAAGCGTATGTAACCCGAAGCATATGTAACCTGAGGTACCACTGTATTTTCAAAAAAGTCCATTGATTTTACTATGAACTCATTTTAGACGATTTGCAGGGTTGCAGTAAGGATTACGGACATGATGAAGTGCAGCATTTTGAATACTAAAACAGAAATATATATAGGCTATTTGCTCAGGGAACAAAAATCAACCCTGTTGAATTTCTGGCACGCTGTTATTTGATAAGCGACTGACCAGGAAACAAAGAGGGCTGCCTGGTGTGGGATTTCTTTGAACCCACAGAAGCCATGTGGGGAGGGGGCAGGCTTTATGTTGGGGAGAACAGAACTGAGTTATCTGTAGTGCAATTGGCCAGTTTGTTATTTTTATTTATTTACTCGATTGGAGGGGCAGCTGTCCCCCCTGCCTATGCCCCTGGCTCTCCCGCAGTTTAAAAGGAATGAAAAACTTTTGGCCCACCAGATAGTTGCCACACGGCAACCTCACATCAGCCGAAACCAGCATGATGGGAGTTGTAGTCCAACTCTGGTGGTCCAGAGGCTCCCTAATCCTGTTTTGGAAGCACCGACACCCTTTCCTGGCTCTGTAATTACAGCATCACAAATGTGGACAGAAGAGGGGTTTTTCTCCCACAAGCACGCGTTGTAAAGGAAAAAGGAAGAAATACATGTCCCCACCTATTTTTTTATTGAGGGGGCAAAAGGAACAGTGGAGTGACTGATTCAGATTAGTTGCTCTGGAGTCATGCACCATCCAACGTGGCACAGCCTGCCTTTCTAGTCTGGATAGCTCAGTTGGTTAGAGCATGGTGCTGATCACGCCAAGGTTGCAGGTTCGATCCCCGTATGGGACAACCTGCATATTCCAGCGTTGCAGGGGGTTGGACTAGATGATCCTCAGGGTCCCTTCCAAATTTAGAATTCCATGATTCTGCTATTCTTTCCCAGAAACACAACTACAGTGGTACCTGGGGTTAAGAACTTAATTCGTTCTGGAGGTCCGTTCTTAACCTGAAACTGTTCTTAAACTGAGGTACCACTTTAGCTAATGGGGCCTCCCACTGCACAATTTTTGTTCTCATCCCGAAGCAAAGTTCTTAACCTGAAGCACTATTTCTGGGTTAGCGGAGTCTGTAACCTGAAGCGTCTATAACCTGAAGCGTCTGTAACCCGAGATACCACCGCTTGAGTAGCAAGGGGTGAAGGACAATGGGAGCCAAACTCAGGAACAGGAGTGCCAACTTGACCCTGCAACCACGGGTGCCTTTTACAGTGTGCATGGCTCTGGCACTGAAATTTGTGGGTGCCTGCATGGATGTAGCATGGAGTTTTGTTAGGGGAGACAGGACTTGGTTAGGTGGGGCAGAACCGACGTGATTAGTCAGTCAGTTAAGTATTTTTTATTGTTTTACTTAATCTGGGCGGGGGGAGCTGCTCCCCTTGGCTATGTCCCATGGGTGCCCGGCCCCTTTCATGGGTGAATTGTGGGTGCTCGGGCACCCCGGGAGCCGGCACCTATGCTCTGGAAAGTGGAAGGCAGGGAGAGAAAAGAAGGATCTCAACTCCGGGCAATTTGGATGCACAAAAAAGACGGGCAAGGCTAGAGCACGGAGAGGGACGGGGGTGGGGTGGGGTGGGGTGCAATGATGTTGGAGGCGCCGTCTTGCTTTCTGTTCGGAAGCCGAGGGGTTAAGCGCAAAGGGGGCGGGCAGGCGGAGAGGGGCGCTGGCTCGTTCTGGCGCGGGATAGGCGGCCGTCTCCAGCGAGCGCTCAAGAACGCGCCGTCGAGGCTCAGGTTTCCGCTGGGCTCGACCACAATGGGAGGTGTCAGAGACACGTGGCTCCTTGTAAATGAGATGTCAAAGCGGTAACCGCTGAGCTGCTCTCTCTCTCCCACCCCACCCCCCGCCACTCCCCGCTCGAGGCGTCTCTGCCTTGTGCCTTCCAGGATGGGTGACAGCCAATAGCGCAAGCAGCATTACAAAGCAAAACCACCAACCAGTCCCGCCGCCTCTCCTCCAAGTTTTAACACTCCCTTAAAGGGGGGGGGGGGACAGAAAGGAAAGAAAGAGCTAGATCTCCCCAGGAACCGTGCTCCAGTTTTATGCACACTTTTTTTTGGGGGGGGGGGGGAGAGACCTGAACGTGGGAGGGCCTTCCTTCCGAGCAAACCTAGATGTGGTGCTGTTAAAAGAAAAAGGAGTGTTTTGCCTCCATCAGCATTCCTGCCCCAAATGCAGAAAGTAGTCAAAGAGAGGCAGTGATGCACAGTGGTTAGAGCCTGGGAGCTCAGGTTCAAATTCATGCTCATCCATGAAACATCTTGGGCAGCCTTCAGGCCAGCCGTCTTCTTTTGGTCTGACCTACCTCGCAGGGGCGCAGGTGGCGCTGTGGGTTAAACCACAGAGCCTAGGACTTGCCGATCAGGTCGGCGGTTCGAATCCCCGTGACGGGGTAAGCTCCCGTTGCTCGGTCCCTGCTCCTGCCAGCCTAGCAGTTCGAAAGCACGTCAAAGTGCAAGTAGATAAATAGGTACCCCTCCGGTGGGAAGGTAAACAGCGTTTCCTTGTGCTCCCCTGGTTCGCCAGAAGCGGCTTAGTCATGCTGGCCACATGACCCGGAAGCTGTACGCCGGCTCCCTCGGCCAATAAAGCGAGATGAGCGCCGCAACCCCAGAGTCGGCCACGACTGGACCTAATGGGGTCCCTTTACCTCGCAGGGTTGTTGGGGGGATGGAATGGGGAGGGGAGAACTACGGATGCCGCCTGGAGCTCCTTGAAGGAAAGGCGGGATGCAAATTAAGTGTATTAATAAGGTACAGCAAGCTCCCTTTAACACAACCCAACGCCTCTGACCTTAGCCTCCCAGCCCAACACCGAAGAGAATCCACAGGGCTCCGTGTTTTAGTGGTTGATTTTAATTCTGAACTGAACTTTTTTGACTACAAGGGAACGAATATAAAGAATAAATAGCAGACTCTCTTCCATTTACAGAGGGTTAAAGACATTCCAACAGCAAAAAAAAAGTTCACTATATACAGTAACACCGTGTCCTAAGCTTTTTATTATAATAACAATAACAATAACAATAATATCTTGAAGTCCATAAAAAAAATCCACACGCAACGCACACATACATTTTCCGAAGAATGGAAAATATCTTATATATATTTATATATATATATGTTTCTTTTCTTACCAAAAGTTCACGTTTCTTTTTTTTAAAAAAAAAACCTTCGCAAAAAAGCGAAGTTGTTTTTTTAGGGAGTGGGGCAGATGGGGGCCTGTTTGTTTGTTTAGGTTCTTAAATTCCCCTAATATTTTTCTCTGGAATATAAATTAAAAGGAGGGGAGAGGGAGCCAAAATACCTTAAAGCGGCGATCAATGAGGAGACTCTTTAACAATACAGTAGACGAGGGTGTTTACTCCACGTTGTAACACTGACCTTTTTAAACAGGAGATTTCAAACGGGGAGGGTGCCTCTATTTATATAGCCACACGCGCGCACTTTCTGTCACCTCTGCACGACTCTCTCTTTCACACACAGACACACGCTCGCAGACATAACAAAGTTACATTCCCCTACACTTTGCAGTGCAGTGCAACGTTTTGAACCGGGAGGCTGAAGAGCTGTCCGTAGTTTTGGAGCTTTTCCAAAGTCCACTACCGCAGTCCGGTTTTAGTTTTGTTTTTTTGTGGGGGTAGAGAAACAGATCAAGAGATTTGAGAGGGGGTGGGTGGCTGGCACGATCTTTGCAGTTTTTTTTTTAAGGGGTGAGGATGGGAATTAAGTGCACTGCGCAGGCAGCTCCCTTCCCGTTCCCCCCCACGTCCACTAGCAGGAACATTTGCACTCGGCGATGATGGGGTATTGGATGGGGATCCACGTGCAGCGCTGCCCGCCCCGGCGCTGGCACCTCCACCTCAAGATGGTCAGATGCACCGACTTGGCCGGCTTGCAGACCATCCCTTCGGGGACGGAGCACGACCTTTTGCTGAAGCAGCTGCCCACTTTGACGTAGCGGGGCCAGAAGCGGCTGCCCAGGTCGTTCCACGTGTAGAGGACCGGGCAGAAGGTCTGCGACCACAGCCACAGCTGCAGCTTCCGGCGAAGCTTCTTGCTCAGCCGGTGCTTCTTGCTGGCCTGCAGGCCCCCGTCGTAAAACTCCAGGCTCTTGATCTCGCTGGGCATGGCCCCCGACGGCCTCTGCCTCAGCAGCAGGTCCAGCTCGGCCAGGTCGTCCCCTCCCAGGCGATCGTCGGCCAGGGAGACCGCCATGAAGTTGGCGTCGAAGTGGGTGCCCAGGAGGTTGCGCAGGAGCGTGTCGTTGAGGTCCTTCTCCTTGGGGTCGAAGATAGGGTCCGGGTGCTCGATTAGATCCACCAGGGGCAAGTTGTCGCTGGGCGCAGGGCGGATGTGCAGGTAGTGCTGGCAAGCGCCTCTCTCCAGACGGAGCCCCAGGAGAACGACCAAGGCGTAAATAGTCACGAGCCACTGGGAATGATCCATCCTCGACAGGGGGACGGGGGACGGAAGGGAACGAGGGAGGCTCACCGGGCGGCCAGGCCCAGCAAAAAAGGCATCGGGAGAAGCGCGCAAGGGACGGCCTGAGGATCCGAGCAAGCCGTCGTGGGAAAGAAGTAGGGGATGCGCCACGCTCAGTCCCGCGGAGCAATTCGGCGCGTGCAAACGCCTCGGGTGAGTATATGCAAAAAGAGGGGAAAAAATAAAATAAACAAGAAAAGCACACGCCACCAAGCCAAAGCAAACCGTCGCGTTCCGGAGACCTGACGCCTCGTCCGGCTGGGTGCAATTGTTCCTCTGGCTCCCGAGTTGGTTGCGCGGTGTCACTCAGCAAAAGCTTCTTCTGCAAACTTCCCCTCCGGCTCGCGTTTCTCTTTGCAAAAGCCTGCAAAAGCAGCCGCCGCCGCAACAGCAGCCGCCGCCACGCACGTTGGCACCAGCTTGTCTGCTTCGCGAGGATCCAGCGCCTTTAAATTTCCTGCCCGTGCTCCTCCATCACTATGGAAACCACCGACTCGCTCTTTTCCGGCACCTCTCTCCTTTAAAAGAAGAAGAAGAAGAAGAAGCAGAGGACAGATTGGAGAGAAGGGGGCGGCGGCGATCCCTCCACGAAAGCCAAAGTCCTGCCGGGAGCAGCTCCTGTTGCAAACCTCTGGCCGGACCACGCCGAGCCGTCCACCAAAGTGAGGCCAAGGCGCCGAGTGTCTCTCTGTCTCTCTGCCCTCCCCTGCAAACGTGCCGCTGCCGAAGCGTGGCTGGGAGAGGATGCTCTGCAGCGCGCGCGCGTCTTTCGCCTTCCTGCAGCCTGCAAGGCAAGCAAGCGCACCGCTGCAATCCACGAGGTTGGGCAACTTCCTCGCTCGCTGCTGCTGCTGCTCCTTCTTCTGCCCCTCCGGCTGCCTCTGCTGTGGGTGGGTGGCAGGCAGCTTTCAGACCAACCTCCCCGAGCTGGAGTTCCGTGCCAGCGGCAGGAGAGCTCTGCAACCTTGCAAGGCACCTAGCCTCTCCATGTGCGCCTCGGCGCGCTCTCACTGGCTCCTTTCACTTTCCTTCCTCCGCCTCCAAGCTCTTTCCCCTCCCCTTGCCTTCCCCCACTTATTGCCCCAGTACCTGGTCGCGGCGGCTGCATTTATTTGCGCCGCTACTACACACACACACACACACAAACGCGAGCCCGTGATGTAATTCCTAAGCGCGTTTGTTGGCGTCCAGCCCGAGAAGTTCTCTGCAGACGCCTCCTTTCTCCGAGCGTGAAATTGCTGCCTAATGCTAATCCAAGCTGGAGGAGAGAGCGCCCTCTGCTGGGATTAACTTCAGGACCCAGCGGCTGCCGTCCCTTCTCCCTCAGGTAACTTCTTGAAATAGTCCAGGCGTGCGAGAGAAGCGCGGTTGTTACACAAACACTGTCGGGAGGTCTGGACGAAGCTCTCCCATCAGGCTTGCACCTCCTCGTTTTCTGTCTTCTTAGTTTCTTCAAAGGGCAGCGATGATATCCAAGAAAGAGAGAATCCCACCCCCGGCAGCAACACATCGCAGGCATCTTACTTCCAAGGCTTCAAAGGAAGAAGAACTCTGAATTTCCATAGGCGGTTCTTTCCAATGTTTTGCTGGCTTCCTCCTTTTCCAAAAGCTATGTCCAAATTTAGGCAATGCAATGTATGTGTGTTGGTGGGCATAGGTGCTGGCTCCTTGGGGTCCTGGGTGCCTGAGAGCACCCACAGAATTTCCCATGAAGGGACCCAGACACCCATACAAATTTTGGTGGCAGGACCGTGCACGCTGCATGACACCCAAAGCCGTGGGCACCCACAGTCGTGGGGCCAAGCTTTCACTCCTGTTGGCAGGGGAAGGGAGCCTTTGGCAAGTCCTATCCTTCCTCTGACAGATCCTGATCTTCCTCTGACAGATCTGACAGATCCTGAAGCTGAGGCTCCAATACTGTGGCCACCTCATGAGAAGAGAAGACTCCCTGGAAAAGACCCTGATGTTGCGAAAGATGGAGGGCACAAGGAGAAGGGGACGACAGAGGACAAGATGGTTGGACAGTGTTCTCGAAGCTACAAACTTGAGTCTGACCAAACTGCGGGAGGCAGTGGAAGACAGGAGTGCCTTGCATGCTCTGGTCTATGGGGTCACGAAGAGTCGGACACGACTAAACGACTAAAGAACAACAACAACAATCCTTCCTCTGGTCACTGCCATGCTGGGGCACGCAAAATTACCCACCCAGGGGTGCCAACTTGAATAAAATATAGGGGGGGGGCAGGCAATAATCCACATAATCAATCAGAGACTTGACTCACACATGCCATTTGAATGGCAGTTTCCATCAACATTGCAGTCTCCTACTCCCTTCAAATGCGGCAGCTAGACTGGTGACTGGGAGCGGCTGCTGAGACCACATAGCACCAGTCTTGAAAGATCTACATTGGATCCCAGTACACTTCCAAGCACAATTCAAAGTGTTGGTGCTGACCTTTAAAGCCCTAAACGGCCTCGGCCCAGTATACCTGAAGGAGCGTCTCCACCCCCATTGTTCTGCCCGGACACTGAGGTCCAGCGCTGAGGGCCTTCTGGCGGTTCCCTCACTGCGAGAAGCCAAGTTACAGGAAACCAGGCAGAGGGCCTTCTGGTACCCGCCCTGTGGAACACCCTCCCACCAGATGGCAAAGAGAAGAACAGCTACCAGACTTTTAGAAGACATCTGAAGGCAGCCCTGTTTAGGGAAGATATTATTGTGTAGATAAAACAGCATAACACCTGACACAGTTTCCTTACCTCTTTGGAGAAATGCAAATATATGTGCGTGGGAGAGAGACGTCTTCACCTCTGCCATTAAAACCTGTTCTGCCTTATTCTTAAGAGGGTAAGGTTAAGGGTAAAGGGACCCCTGACCATTAGGTCCAGTCGTGACCGACTCTGGGGTTGCGGCGCTCATCTCGCTTTATTGGCCGAGGGAGCCGGCGTACAGCTTCCAGGTCATGTGGCTGGCATGACTAAGCCGCTTCTGGTGAACCAGGGCAGCGCACAGAAATGTCGTTTACCTTCCTGCAGGAGTGGTACCTATTTATCTACTTGCACTTTGATGTGCTTTCGAACTGCTAGGTTGGCAGGAGCAGGGACCGAGCAACGGGAGCTCACCCTGTTGCGGGGATTCGAACCGCCGACCTTCTGATCAGCAAGTCCTAGGCTCTGTGGTTTAACCCACAGTGCCACCCGCGTCCCTTCTTAAGAGGGTAGGAGAGTTTGAACCATGATATCTGCTTTCCAGGTCAGCTGGGCAATAATATTTGGGAGGAAACCCTGCTCTGTAGGAAACCAGCAGCATCTTGAAGACCTTGCTTTTGCCAGAGCAGGACACGGGAGGCTATGTTGCTTCCAGGGATGTTTTTAGGGGTTGTCCAGATGAGCTGAATCCTAGATCGGTTGTCCCAAGCCCCATATCTCCTGCTCCTCTCCTCCATTTTTAAGCATAATTCTTTAGAAACAACTTTGCACACAGGGTGGCTGGGTGCTCCATAAACTATCCCACTATTTTAAACTTCCCAGAGGCACTCTATAATAATTCTGTGTCATGGGCCTGTATCCTGAGTATACATACCTAGCAATGCCCCTGGTCCCGTTACACCAGGGATGGCGAACTTGTGGCCCTCTGGATGTTGTTGGACTGCAACTCCCAACATGCCTAGCTGTTGGCCACAGTGCCTGGGGCTGATGGGAGCTGGAGTCAATAACAACGTCTGGAGGACTGAAAGTTCTCCATCTCTTCTAGCTAATGGGATAGTTAACTGTGAATAACACTCATACATTCTATGGACAAAGCACTTGACATATTCAGAAAAGGCACATGGAACTGTGAATGGGTTAAGTCATCTAGTTCTGTTCCATAAAAGGCCAGGAAATTCCATTGTCATCAGTTGGATATCCTCCTGTGAACTCTCAAACCCTGTACTCAAAACTGCTTTGAATTCTGAAGACCTCTTGCAACTTCAGACTTAATGGGCAGTGGCAGGTTCTGGAGGTTTCTGCTGTTATAATATACAGTTACTGACTCATGCTTGCATGCATGAAAGGGTTAACCTGAGCCCTGAGCTCAAGTTGTCACTGGGTGTGCTTTAGGAGGCTCCTAGCAACCATTGCTTCTCCCTTTTCTCTCTTCTTTGCTGCCTTCCTCGAAGAATGAAGCCATGCATCTTGCCTCTCAGCTGCGAGAAAAACCAACTGAATGGAAAATCTTTTTAAAAGGAGATTTTTACAGACTGCATCTCTGCTAAACCAAATATTGCATGATTCTTTTAGTAAGGAAACCAAATTCTTTTCTTTTTAAGTCACTTGGAACCCCTTTTTTCTTTATTTTTACTGTCAATGGATGGAGACTACACTAAGGCAAACAAGAGGGAAGGGTGTGTTGAAAGGAAACAGCTGATCAGTGGGATCAGAAGAGAGATAAGGGACGCTAACGGAGGCTGACTGGCAGGGGGGAGGTAAAAGCCCATGGATCCTCAGGATTTTTACATTGGGTCACCCCAAATTCACCCCAAATTCACCATCAGATCACATAGCATGTCCATGGCTACAGCCTGCACCCAAAATATCACGCATCCACTGTTTCCTGGGGCCGCAATGGTGCAAAAATGTGGTTACAAAGCACGGATCCACATGGATCCTCAGGATTTTTGCATTGCGTCACCCCAAATTTACCATTAGATAACATGTCTGTGGTCACAGCACGAACCACAAAAATCATACATCCACTGTTTCGTTCAGAATATTTCTTTCCTTGTTTTCCTCCTCTAAAAACTAGGTGAGTCTTATGGAACGAAAAATACGGTACTTTCCTGGTAAGGGAGAACATGTCTGTGTTTCATCTTCAAATTTGATAAAGTGACTGTTTCCACATTTACAAACATTTCGCTAGAAAATATCTGAGAATGTGGATGCACTTTGCATTCAGTAGGCACATTTAATTTAGCCGGCAAAATGTG